TAGCGATTTTCTTCCGGAAAATCGAGACTGTCATTGTTCAAAACGATGCAAGTCTTCTTTCTTCAATAAAAATGCCTGGGAAGATGGCTGATAACTGTCACAAWTGTAAAACACGTAATACCAGCAAATTCAGTCTAATCGGTCCTTTTTGTGGACAATACAATAGAGAAAGAGAATATCTGAAGTGGAAAAGGGCTCACGATTTCCCTCTTTAATCTCCATAGTCGAGTTCATATAGTCGATGTTTCTGCATTGACATCAAAGCGAAAATGAGTAGATCACGTGACTTTTCAGTGTGATAATATAGTTGGTCGAGGCGCGCAAAGCATGCTAGTGAAACATCCTCCTTTTTCTATACCTATGGTGCTCCGCTCGCGCGGGCCTTCGGCCCGTGCGGGAGCTCCGCTATAAARTAGTTCCGAATATTCCTTAACTAAGATTTCGAAAAAATATACTTGATAATATAGCAATATTTGTTGTGACGACACTGTTCAGAGTCATTCTCAATCACCTGGACTGCGAGTATGCCATCTAGCCGCCTCCTCCAGGTGATTGAAAGAGTCGAGGAAGGGTACTATAAACTAGTTCCGAATATTCCTTACCTAAGATTTCGAAAAAACATACTTAATAAAATAAYAATATTTGTTGTGACGACACTGTTCAGAGTCATTCTCAATCACCTGGACTGCGAGCTATGACGTGACGTGACATCTCTTTAAAATGGAAAACGTTTTAAAGAGTAAATTTTGATCCCATAAGTTCTCTTACTATTGGTCCTGTTGTAGAATTTATCAAAATAAGCTGATTCCAATATATTCGATGACATAATAAAATATAATACATAGATTTTAAAAACATACTAAACRTCAGGATATGGAATGGATAGTAGTCTTAGGTTTGGCATTTCTAATATGCAGCAAAGAATTTCTTAACAAGACGCGCAGATGAAACTTATAAGGAAAAAATACTAATATTACTTACGTCTGATATCCTCCAAGACACAAAAGCCAGGTAAAACCAACAGCAAGGCCGCAAGTGTACATCGTTCTTGGAAGTTCATCTTTAAGCGAAATGGGAAACCGAAGTACGACTAGAAAGGATTGAGCAGCTCAGAAATTAGCGGCAGCGATATGGATCTGAATCTTCTGGTGAGCTGTTTCTATTTTTAAGCCAACAGTGTGTTTCGAGTCCTAATCAATATTCATT